GAAACATATAAGGGTTGATAGGTTTTCACGTAGTAAAACTTATATGTCACACTGGACGGAGTGATTTGTATTTGTAATTGTTAGTGTGACGGACCAGAATGAAACAAATAAAAAAAAATCAGTTTATTGTTTTATTGCACATGCAAATAATAATAACACTAACAATTATACTATATTTAAAAATCGTTTGGGTAGAACATTCCTGGCTCCGAATACGTCAACATCCCTGCAGACAACATTAGCACCTGCTGTACATCTAGCAGAGGGACAATTTTTAGATGAGGAGCAAACATTGAACAATACAAAATCTCTGATATACCGAGCAGGAACTCGGAGACCAACAATTTCCAGAACAGAAGGGCAGAATTTCGAGCCAAAATAAACTTGAATAAGAAAGAGAGCATCGAGGCGATGTCTCCCAGTACGTAAAGTATGCAATTTTAACTCCTCAAGAGCAAGAGAATAATTGTAATGAAGCTGAGGAAAGAAACGATTAAAACAAAGGGCCGCAAACCTCTGCTGGATGCGTTCCAGCTTGTTGGCATCAGTTGACGTAATCGAATTCCAGACTACGGCCGCATATTCAAGCTTAAATCTAACTACTGCAGTGTACAATCTGAGCATACAGTCTAGAGATGAGAAATTGAAAGTAATGCTACGAACTAGACACAACAGTTTAGCACAGTGAGAGAAAATGTAATTGACCTGGTCATGGAAATATCTTATATAGAGTACAACCCCACCAGCCACTATGCAGTGAGGGATTTTTTTTTTCCTTGGCACTGCAGCCCCAGTGGGCCTAGGCGTACCTCCATGAAATTCTCCGTTCACAGTGAGGGAATATATACACTGTATATTCATATTTAGTACAGTTAATCTTTCAACAAGTAGAAAGGACCGCCATATTATACGATTAAGAGTAACAGTTTTGATTCCAAACATATCAGCGTCCCTACAAACAACATTAGCAGCTCAAGAGCGTCTAGCAGGGGTAGCATTTTCGTTTGAACAGCAAACACTGAGACGATACAAATTTTTGAAATACTGAATAGGACCTCAAACCAACAGTTTCCGAAACAGAAGGACAGGATTTCGAACCAAGTGCCCCAAAATGACACCTCCTCTTACGTAAGGTGTATAGTCTTTACTGCTGTGACGTATAAGCATACCTGTAACGGATCGATTAAGTCAGAGGGCTGCAAATATCGATTGATAGCGCTTCAGTTTTTTGACACCAGTAGAAGTAGTTGAATCTCAAACAACGGACGCGTATTAAAGCCTAGATCTAACTAGAGTAAAATAAAATATTGCGACATGACGCCTGAAAGCCCTAATCTGCCCGTCTGCTGGGGCGGCGGGCTTCACTAAGCACGTTCCTGTGTAAACACGGAAGGCGCCGCTGTTGGACGGCGAAATGTTGTAACACTTTTCCACAGCAACGAATACAACTGACGAAGCAATGCATTGCATACAGAGTCACGTCGATTCCTAGGCAACGAATACAGAATCGTTTCCCTTCATTCGGCAACGGACCTCCGAAGCAGAGCAACAGTGGAAAACGCGATAACTCCACTGTTGAAGGCGATGATCTCAGGGAGAGAACTGACCAACAGAAGGCAGAAGAGGGCAGAACATAGAAGGCGGAATCTGAAGTCAGACGCGAAATCTTTAGTTTAAGTGGTGTTGTCTTTCATATAGAATATTTATATTACAGTTCCGTCAACAATGCAACCACTTTATTCCTTAAAATTTTAACTGTTTACAACATGTTCCATTCCCAACCGTCCATCATTAGGTTCTTCAATTCTTCAAAACTATTACCTGCATTGAATACCTGCAGGTAACAGTTTTGGCCAATTGAAACTTTTAAGGAATAAAGTGGTCGTATTGTTAAAGGAACTGTAATATAAATATTCTATGCGAATGTTTTAGAAATACAACAGAACGTTTAATTACAATATGACGTCGTTGTTCGTAGTTACGAAGTGTTAGAGTTAGAGTAAGATTGTATTACAACTAATTGTAGTTCCGGATAGTGAATATCCAATAAATCGATTCATCTAATCCGGAACCCATTAATAACCTATCGGTTTACTAGGATACGTGACATTAAGTAATAAAATGAAGGGATGAGCAGGATAAAGTTATCTTGCGAAGTAGACAAATATGCAGTTGACAGTTTGGTACATGTGTTCGCAGTGGTACTACTACGTGAGACAGAGAGACAAATCAGAGGAGTGGAAATGTCAGCCTCACACATGGATGTCCCCTGAGCTTGAACGCCACGAGATCTTGCTAGGATCCTTAAGCCTTTTTGTGGTTAGCTCCATTTCTTCTGTACTTTCCTGTTACATTAGCAATGGCGGCTGGTCCAGAATCTACTACCAGTTCGATGAATACACCTGGATTTGGTGGTTTCTTCAGTGGCCAGTCATATTCATTTTTCAGGTAAGGAATTATATTAGGGTGTTAAAAGTCGGTTCGAGGTGCAGTTTTAGTCCGACATTTCAGATTTCCCCGTGATGGCACATTAATTTTGCAACAGAACATAAGGGAACAATATTCAGCCTTTGTAACCTACACGGATCTATAATTTAACCAGTCCCAGGGACAGATCAAGGATAGACCACTGTCAACGGAAGAAACACGCTTGGATGCTATATATATATATGCTCGTACTTCTGATGACGATATTATAAGTGTCGAAAAATGTCTGGACAATCATGAATTTAAACAGATTTCAAAATTTTATGTTATTATTGACTGTATTGTGACAGTAAACATTGTTATGGCCAGTTACAACTGGCCGTCTGTCACTTCTCACACACTGAACCCACCCCCTTGTCCGAAATTTTTCTTCTGCGCATTCAAGGTTACTCTTGGCCTTGTTCGAAGTTACGTGACACTTGCTATAATTACACTTCAGTTCTTCTTTCTCTTTTCCAGGACTATGGGACTTACTGGTTTCACAGAACCTACCATACGCCTTTCCTCTACAAGCACTTTCACAAAATGCACCACAAATACAAGCAGCCCACTGCATTCTCTGTTACGGCAATCCATCCACTGGAGATAATGCATGGGCAAGTGATCCTCATACTCCCCATCTTTTTAATTCCTGTTCACTTTGGTAAGTGGTTCATTCATGTTTAGTGTTATCTCATGTTTACTTACTGACTCACTCATGGAGCTGAGACCTTCTGCAGGAGCCGCCAATTCTGCAGCTACTCAAGAATCTCCCAGCATTTATGGAACCCCAAGGTTCATTACTGTGTTCACAAGAGTCCTCCACTGATCCCTATCCTCAGCCAGATCAATCCAATCCATACCATTCCATCCTATCTCTCTAAGATCCATTTTAATATTGTCCACTCACCTACGCCTTGGTCTTCCCTGTTGTCTCTTTCTCTCTGGCTTTCCCACCAATATCCTTTATGCATTCCTCGTCCCCCCATTCGTGCTACATGCCCTGCCCACCTCATTCTCCTTCACTTGATCATCCTAATTATACTTAGAGAAGAGTACAAGTTATGAAGCTCCTCATCATGCAGTTTTCTCCAACCTCCTGTCACATCATCTTTCTTCGGTCCAAATATTCTCCTCAACACCCTGGTCTCAAACACCCTCAGTCTATGTTCCTCCCTTAATGTCAGAGACCAAGTTTCACACCCATACAGAACCACAGGCAAAATTATAGTTTTGTGTATTCTAATGTTTATGTTTTTGGACAGCAGACGAGAAGGCAAAAGCTTCTGGACTGAATGGTAACAAGCATTACCCGAGTTCAATCTCCTTTTAATTTCCTCCTGAATCAGGTTTCGAACTGTTATCATTGTTCCCAAATATCCGAACTGTGCCACATTTTCAAAACATCTGTTTCCTATCTTTATGTCATGATTTTGCCCTGCATTTTGGTGACGAGACAGTAACATATACTTAGTTTTCTCTGTGTTTACTTCAAGACCAACCTCTTTACTTGAGTCAATTAAAGTTTGTATGTTTTTCTTTATGGTATCTATATTATCACCCAGTAGATTCATATCATCGGTGTAGACCAACAGCTGATGTGTCCCGTTTAATTTCAGTCCCACGTGGTTTCCCTGGACCTTCCTAATTGCATATTCTAAGGCAAAGTTGAAAAGAATTGGCGATAAAGCATCTCCTTGTCTTAGACCTTTCTGGATAGTAAATTTATCAGACAAATGTTTACCTACACAGACTTTACTATACGTTTCGTTTAAACACATTTTAATCAGCCCGAGTAATTTCATGGGTATCCCAAACTCTATCAGAATATTGTACAATACTTACCTCCTAACTGAATAATAGACTTTTTTGAAGTTTATGAATAGCTGATGAACTGTCTCATTGATCCCCCATTTTTTCTCCAATATCTGACGAATGCAAAAGGTCTCATCTGTAGTTGATCTGTTACGTCGAAACCCACACTGATGATCCCCAATAATTTCATCTATACGGTATATGGACTTAACCTTGAGAGAAGAGAATTTGATAAAATTTTATATGCGGTTGATAGAAGTGATATCCCCCGATAATTACTACAGTCAGTTTTATCACCCTTCTTGTGAACTGGTAAAATAATAGACTCCTTCCACTGATCAGGCAATTTTTCCTTATGCCAAATAGAAGTAATTAGATTGTGGATATTAGAACGTGATATTTCGCCTCCTGCTTGATCTGCCGGAATTTGATCACTACCTGGCGCTTTTTATACCGTTTCAAATGTGCAATTAGCACTTTCAATCTCAAAAGGGTTAGGATCAGGTACATATGGCTCATCTGTATGGATTTCTGTCTGCCTAACATCACTTTATTTTTTTCCTTGGCACTACAGCCCCAGTGGGCCTAGGCCTACCTCCATGAACTTCTCCGTTCACTTCGGTTTTTCTAGATCTTACACATTCGGTAGGACTCCTTGGGCGGGTGATCAGCTCGTCTCAAGGCCTCTACCTGTACACAAACACAGAAAAACGCAAACAAACATCCATGCCCTGAGTGGGATTCGAACCCACGATCCCGGCTTCCGAGCGAGCGAAGATAGTGCACGCTTTAGACCGCTCGGCTACCGTGACCGGCTAAAGATAAGGCAATACAAAATCCAAACAGAGCACAAAACCTCATCGCGAGTTAAGACACACAAGCTTTTACCCGAGGACAGAGACAGAGTCCAGTCTCTGAAACACTATTTTTTAAATGAAAAACATGATGTAAAATGTCCAAAATAGTCAATAATTTCATTAATATACCATCGTCAAAACTTTTAGATCTTATGTACAAACACTGTTTCACTTTACGTAAAACGTTCTGAATAAGCCTCTAAGACTCCTGTTTTGTCCTGCAAATATTCGTATTTTGACACTGCTTTAGTAGGTGCGTTTTATTTAACATTCACTCCATCTCATTTCAGTGTCCTTTTCCGTTATAATACTGTACATATACTACTTCGGCATCATCGACCATTCTGGAATAAACTTCAAAGCATATTGGTGGCAACCATGGCAACCAGACGCCATATTTCACGATAATCATCACCAGTACTTCCATGTCAACTTCGGTTTCAACTGCGACTTTTGGGACAAGGTTAGTTAAAGAACTGTATTTTTATCACAAACTTCAACGTTTGAAGTGACAAACACTTCACTCTTAATGAAGACGTTGCAGTGTTTAACGACAGACAAATATCAACCTGTCACGTATTAACATTAATTACTGCGCAGTCATAATAAAGCAGCGTAAAAGGACTGCTGATGTCAAGTCTGATGTATCATCAATGATCGAGCAATAACAATCTAGGAGCTTTCTTAAAAATTATGACATAAACAACAAATATAGTGTTAGTCACGTGATAATTATTGAAAAAACAACAACAATAAAATACTTCGTGTTTTTAATCCGCAAGCCAACTATACCGACCATTTTAATATTGTCCACCCACATACGCCTTGGTCGACAATATTAAAATGGATCTTAGAGAGATAGGATGGGATGGTTTGGATTGGATTGATCTGGCTCAGGATAGGGACCAGTGGAGGGCTCTTATGAACACGGTAATGAACCTTCGGGTTTCATAAAATGCTGGGAAATTCTTGAGTAGCTGCAGATTTGGCTTCTCCTCAAGAAGGGCTCAGTTCCATGAGTAAGTAAGTAAGTAATATGAAATTCAAAGACCGTCTATTTGGCTTAGTGGTCAGAGTTCCTGGTTACAGATCCAGAGATCCCGGGTTCGATTCCCGGTGCTACCGGATTTTCTGGGAATTAATGGGTCTGGAACAGGTCCAGTCAGCCTCATGAGGATAACCGAGGAGCTACTTTAATTGAAAAATAGTGGCTCCGGTTTAGAACACCGAGATTAACGGCCATAGGGATCCGTTGCGCTGACCGCACGGTACCCCTCTATCCGCTAAAGTTGGCACTGACTTCGCAGATTAGAGGTGGTCGCTCGGTCGGTATAGTTCGCTTGCGGTCTAAAGCAACCAAGGTTTTTTTTTATAGGAAGTTCAAAACAGAATCGTTAGTTTTGATAGTTAGTTAAAATACTCTTCCATAAAATTTTTTCACCAATGTAAATTTAAAATTGTGCAATTATGTTGGTTTAGTAAGCAGACTCTCCAAATCTTGTACCAACACGCATGAATAAATTAATTACATTTCTGCTCTACATTCAATTAGGCCTATTTATAAACTTAGCATTTATTTGTGAAAAGCATATTTTCTCTATGTATTACATACTATAATATTTTGATACTTACAACAAAAAAACAAACAAAGAAACTTTCCTCCGAAACGTCGGTTAATACAATTTCTACACAGCGCCACATCCCAGAAGAAGGCTTTCTTCATAGTCACCGCCGTGAAAATCACAAATCTTACATAAGTGGTTTTAGTCCACAAGCCGACTATACCGACCGAGCGTTCGCCGCTTGTCGGTGAAGTTACTGCCAAGTTTAGCGGATAGAGGGTGCTGCGTGGTCAGCGCAACGAATCCCCACGGCCGTTAATTTCGGCTTTCTAGTCCGGAGCTGCTATTTTCTTGAAATATCTCCTCAATTATCATCACTAGTCTGAGTGGACCCCGTTCTAGACCCACTACTTCCCAGAAAACCTGGCTGCGACGGGGCTCGAACCCGGATTTCTGGATATTTAGCCAGGTACTCTGACCACTAGACCACAGTTGTGATATAATATTTTGATACGTTTCCTAATATTGTATTTGATACATACTCGACAGCATTAGACTTCCCTGAATTCGGTTAATATTTCACATACACACCTTTCCAAACTCAGCGCATTATTGACTTTGACAGAGCAATACGAGGTACAGTCTTAAGAAATTTGTATAAAAATCCGCCATATACATATATTAAAACATGTGAGATATGTAAAACCAAAAGTTAAATTTAGAGTAAAATAATTTCTAAATAATAAACATATTATTAATTAATTATTATTTTTAATTATCATTTGTTCTTTTATTTTTAAGTGTTTTGCTGTCGTTTCTATCTTCTTATTCGTTCTAACTTTTTAATTGGTCTCTGGGCTGTTAAGTTTGCACATAAATAAATAAGAATTGAATTGAATTTATTTGAGTTTAAAAATGACTTAACAACATATTCCTCCTGTTCACCTTGAGTAACTAATTATACAATGATGCTCGTGGTATCCAGAATTTATGTGACAAATGTAGTCTACTGGAGGCCGTTAAACTCACGTGCAATTCAATCACGGTGCTACAGCACGTAACACAACAGAATTCCAAAGACGTTGCTGTTTTCCAGAGTTCACACTCTTCGAATCTGCGGTGCGGTAATGAAGCTCCTATCCCATAATGAAGAGTTATTTAGTCTCTTAAGATTAATTACCTGTTATCCCCTATGGATGTGAAAACTCATCTTCTGCCTTCGTGGAAAAATAGAGATTTTGGGCGGTCTCAAACAGAGTGGTCATGAGAAAATCTAGAAATACGTAAGAGAGAGAACATCCAGAAGACTAGAGAGTATTGCGTAATGAGCTTAATTGTATTGACTGTTTACCAGACTAATTAGGGAGGTCAGACCAAGGAGGGTGAAAGAGGCTGAACAAGTTGTGAGAATTGGAAAAAGGAGAAATCAACACAAAATTTTAGTTGGGAAAACAAAAAAAAAAATAATTGAGAAAAATAGGCGTGAATGGGCAATAATTTTTAATTGGATATTAGAAAGGAAAGGGAGGTTGTACACAGGATTTATCTGGCTCAGGATAGGGACAAGTGGTGGGCTCTTGTGGAAATTCCATTAAACCTTCGCGTTCCATGAAAGGTGGGAGAGTTTTGACCAATTGAATGATTATTATCTTCTCAGGAATGAACTTGGTCCACTGAGTTAAATAATTTTCATGTTCAGTTGTGAATGACTACTGTTGTTATTAGAATAATTATCTTTATTTAGATATGAATAATTATTGTCATTACAATGATTTATTTTGAGACGTGAATAATTACTGTTATGATAATAATTATTTATCTTCAGATGTAAATGATTGTTATCGCTACAATAATTCTGGAAGGACTCCTTTAAAGTTTCAAATTTGTATCTGTTAATATATCTTTGTTTCTTAGCTACATGGCACGTACAGAAAAAAGGATCGTATATACCATGAGGATGTGTACTACGGACAGGGAAAAGCGATACACGAAGCAACTGAAGAAGAACTGAAGAAAGATTTGCAGGAGAGAGAATCGGAAAATCCTTTGGCTCACAGAAATAATGTAATGGAGTTCAGACTTACAGAAGAAGATCTCAAGAAGCATAGTTAAGCCTATAGACGGACAAGATATTATTTGTGACATTAACAGTGCATCGAATTTTTTCTTATAGTTTCCCTCGACTAGACGAATTCCTGTTTCGTGAATGGTGAGACAATATTTATTTAGCCCACATAGTTTTTGTATTTTCGTTAACACATTATACTTACTGACGTACTTATGGAGCTGAACCCTTCTGGAGGAGACGCCATCACCGTGTTCACAAGAGCCCTCAACTGGTCCATATTATTAGCCAGATCTATCCAATCTATACCATCCCATCCTATCTCTCTAAGATCCGTTCTAATATTGTCCACCCACCTACGCCTTGGTCTTCCCTGTGGTCTCTTTCCTTCTGGCTTTCCCACCAGTATCCTATACGCATTCCTCGTCTCCGCATTCGTGCTACATGACCTGCCCACCTCATCCTCCTTGACTTGATCATTCTAATTGTACTTGGAGAAGGGTACAAGTTATGAAGCTCCTCATCACCCAGTTTTCTCCAACCTCTGTCACTTCATCACTCTTCGGTCCAAATATTCTCCTCAACAAACTGTTCTCAGACACCCTAAGTCTATGTTCCTCCCTTAATGTCAGAGACAAAGTTTCACACCCATACAGAACCACAGGCAAAATATCTTTCACTTCCGAGCGTTTCAGGCTCTGTAGTATAGTTTTAAACATCCAGTGTAATAACATACTCGTTGGTAATATTAAGGGATTTAATGGCAGCTTGGAGCGAGGCAGAGAGGTTCAGAATCAGCACCTGAGTTAGAACAAGCTCAGGTGCACTGTAGCAGAGACGTCGCTGATAAGGCAGAAAGCAGTTTGGCACTGTACATATAAATATGGTAAGTGTGACAGTGGGAAACATTGAAATGAGTAATGGGAATCATTCGGGTCTGTTTTAAAATAAGCCCCGAAATATACCAACAAAACTGAACCAGTGCTTCAGTCGCCTAATGAACCCCCATATATTCTCGTCTTTAGCGTCCTGAAAGGAGGTCAAGGGAATTTATATATACAGAATGCTCAAAAATTCATTTGCTGGTTAGTAAATTCGCCTTCTTCTTATTCTCCTTCTTCTTCCTCCACATTTCGCATTAGGCTGTCTGACCTGTGTCCCACCAGGAATAATATGGAACAATATGGACAATTTGTAGGACTCCTTGGACGGGGATCAGCCTGTCGCAAGGCGCTACCTACACAGGACAACACAAACACATAAGAATTGCGGACAAATATCCATGTCCCGAGTGGAATTTGAATCCACGTTCCCAGGCTCCTACCGGGGGAAGAAATTTCATGCCTTAGAACACGCGGTCAATCTGATCGGCTGGTTGGTAAATGTACATAAATTTACGATATATATTTCTTTCTTATCAGCTGAATTTACAAACATTTTTTGAAATATGATCTTTCATGCTAAATGTACAGCACACATGGATGATGTACCGTTATAAAAATTGACTTGCATAATTAACATCATACATCAAAGGAGAATGTTTTCGTTTAACTGGCTTTTGGATCACTCCAAATAATAAAACAACAGTGAGCCGACCACTTCGTTTCTAATATCAACTCTAATATTATTAACCATTACAGTTCATATTGGTAATTACGAGTTATGAAGCACTTCTAAAGTGTGTTCAATATGTTCCGCCTACTCGGTATTAAATAATAATTTCGTTTCTCTTGTTTTACATATCCTTCCCACATCCACAAAAAGACGTTAAATTCTTTTATATAAAGGCAAAACCGATCTAAAATTGTGATATGATTTATTTAGTGGCTCTATAATGAAGCAATCTACAGAGAAATGATAAAAACGTGGAACACATACCTAACTGCATGGAGAATTTAAGTTGACGTGAGAATGGGACAACCTACACAACAATAATTCTGAAAGTGACAACATAGACATTATTGTGTCAACATTAGTTTTTATTAGCTGTTGACACAGTAGTGTCTACTTTGTCTCTTTCGGAGCTACTGTTCTGTCGACTGTCCCNTTTTTAATGTTCTTATGGGACTTGTACATTATTATAGTAATTTAGTTAACAGTTTTTACGCATGTATAATACTTGTAAAAATTATGTTAAATAAAATGTAGTGAAGTAAGTGTTGATGTCTGAAATCATGCGAAGATACACCTTTTAGCCTGCTACATTTATTTATGGTAATCAGTTCAAAAACACCATAAGAGTAGAGATTATACAGTCTAATTCATGGTACTATGAAAAAGATAATTTGAAACAGCATAAGACTATGAAACAATGTAGTCATTATAGCTGGTACCACAGCTGGGATTCGAATTGATTTCCTGTCACATATTAGTAACACATGCCATTAAGCTAATGGGCTAGGTATTTTACCTTCAAGAATTATGACAGACCTTATATTATTCTGTATACATTCACACAGCGAGACCCTAAATATATGGGTAGTATTGATTCCATGACATCTTACAGTATGACTAAATTACAGACGGTTTAAATACAAGTTAAAATACTCGAGACAAAAGCACACAAAAGTCTTACTGGTACAAACTCCACTTATTCCTCTTCATGAGTATAAAAAAGGGTAAAATCTTAAGACATATTCCTTTAAAGTACAAGGTTTCCTTGAACTTTCCGTTTTTCCTGGATCTTTTAGCATCCTGTCGTCCCCGAAGTTGACACTGAGGGACAGTTTGGGCAAGCGGCTTCTATACAGTCCTTCTAGATGATCGCACCAGATAACCTTACTTTTAAAAACAATTTCATGCACAGAAATATTTATTTTTTTGATTTTTTTCCAACTATTTCAGAGTCTATATTTTATAGCGTCAAATGATAATGTGGCACATAAACCCGCTGTTAAGCGTGACTCTGTAAACAGCGGCTGTTGCTTGGTAATGTCCGCAACATACAAGCACGCAACAATGGAACAACGAGGTTATGCAACCCATTTCTAAGCAACGGCTCGGTAAACACGTCCTCGCGGCAACGAACAAGCACACAACAGAAGAACGGCATTTTCGATGTGGTCGGCGCCGAGGAGTTATCTTGAAAACAATTACGTTAACCATTCAACTGGCAGTTCAGTTGAGTGAAGCGAAGAGAATTAGTTGGTGAGTGAGAGTTCAGTTGAGTAGAGCTCTGCAAGGGAGGCCGAGAAGAGATGGCGCTATTATTGAGTTAACAGTTGACAACAGTTCAGTTATGCGATATTAGCAGGATAGAAACGAAGAGAGCGCGGGAAACTGAAGAACCTTCACTGTTAGAAACCGTGGCTATGGAATGCTGTTGAAGACAAAGCAGGCTGGAAAAGTATTAGAGGTTGCTGTGGTGATCTGTGAATTATGGAGATTAGAGATAGCGGTATAATTGCTTGTAGTTCCGAGTGGCGTGCACAAGTGGCCAATAAATCCAATATCCTATCCGTACCCCGTCTATGGTCACACCCCTACATCGTGACAATAGGATCATTGATGAATAATGAATTGGAAATAATTTTCAAGGAAGCGGTCGTAGCCCAACCATAATGTTATGCCGGTTTTTGTCTGGAAGGTGTCAGGATAACTATGGAAATAATTCCATGATATCCTGTGCCTGTCAGAAATTCGAAACGAACGCCTCTACCCCAGAAGACATTGAGTGCATTTATCAGCATATAAACGTGTCCCGAAACAAAGGAGAAATCATGATGCTAACTTTCCTTTTTGTGCTTCAAAGTACATTGGGCTGCTAGTAAGAACCATAAATTAATAATCTAGTGATCCATTTATGACCATAATTTCCTCTAATTCAAATTCATACTACATAACATTTGTTAAGTATAATCACCAAGTATTGCGCTCCTGTCATATTTGTATCTGAGAAGCAAGAAATTTCATATGAAATTTGTGCATGTGTTTATGATTCATCTCCATAGAAGTGTCTTAAACCTACATTCAATAGGTCTTTAGCAATCGCTATCAACAAGAAACTAAATACAGATTGATAACTGCAATAATGTTGCAATTTTCATTATAGAAAGAAAAATAAAAGAAACCTTTATCAAATACAATATTGTCACGTGTAGGGTGGTACGCGTGACGAAAATAATGGGTTCTAGAAGGGATGATTGGATTTAATAGCACTTCGGTTACAAGTTTTCTTAATCACACTTAATACAGCGCTATCGCTGATTTACACACACTCTAGTTCCTAATTGCACACGCACTAGGAATCTCCGTCTTCACTAGTCATCTCCTGGTAACGGATCTTAACACAGAAATTATCACTGCAAATCACTATGAAGCCTTCTTATCTTCAATCACTTCATATTACTCAGTCCTAACCTGTATTCAATTAATCTTCATAATTGAATAGGACATGCTCCCTTCTCGTCCTTATATTTTCTACTGCTGAACCATCCTGAACTTTCTTCCGTGACGGTTACGTGTCCTTGACTCACGGCTTCTGAGCTACGATTAACTGCAAACGAGCTTTGTTGTCCCCATAAACCTTCGCGTGCACCTGCAGAAAACGTCATGTGGTCTCTAGCTATTGTTGTGTGAGGTAACTGCCTACGCGGAAATGTGTTTACGCTTCGTTGCCTAGCAACAGACGTCCTATTTTTCCGCGTATTTGCTTCTGCGGGAACGTGTTTAACACTCCGTTGCCAAGCAATAGGTATACATGTAACAATACGCCACAATATCAAGGACCTAAATTAAGTGGCGTCATAACTTTGAAGTTCGTTTGCCCACCATGTTGTTATTATTAAGGATAAGAAACTAGAAATTACGAAGCTAATGTGGCCTGTAATAGAATGGTATACACAAGTTTCGTTAGAACACGTCAGTTTGTTCATATCTTGTTTGGGGAATGGATTTGCGGTAAAATAGATTTGATAATTTATTTCAATACAAAGTAAAACGAATACTCTATATAAATATTTATAATGATGTTCATAGCATTTTATATGCTGGCTGATTTCGGAATTTATCGTATAATTTACAATATTTAAGGCTACTTTGAGCAATAATGCACATAGTTCTAGACGCTTCAAGTTTCATTAATTAGTGAAAAGAATAAAATTTAAACTTGGCAACAAAATCAAATTTAAAACAAGTTACAGATATTATGTTTAAAATCTTAAAATATCACCTTACTACTCACTTCTTCAATAAGAATAAAAGAGTTTATTCTTCATTTTATTAAACAGATTTCTAGAGGTATTTTTTTCTGAATTTTTCTGTATTATTTTTATAGTTGTGCTACATTTTTTACTTAGATGCTATGTTATATGAAGTGCTCCTGATTTATAACATGCGCAAAAACTCCGTTGTGTCTGCAAGAAACTATTGTGCCTTAATGATTATTCCTAGTGTTGAGAATGCTTGCTCTATAACTCACACTACAGTCGACTAATGCATATTTTCTTATGATAAAAATAAACAACAACATGAAAATATTTGAATATAAAATTGTACTGAGAACATTTTGTTACGAACTGATGACTACATATATCAATGTACACATTAACAGTCACTTATTTCTGTACATTTTAATCTAAATCTAAAATAATAATCAACAAGTTAAGATTTTGTATTCTCACCTGTATCTNTGTACTAAAACGCTACAAAGAACAGTGTTCCAGTTCATACATATGAACTACGGTATTTTTTTATTGCTAGGGGGGTGGGACTAAGTCCCTTGTACTGCGGCCACTTCTGGCCTATTGTACCAGCCCCAGATGATAGGTTAAGGTGATTGTGGAGCAATTGGTGGAATGAAGATTGGCAAGGGAAATCGAAGTACTCGGAGAAAACCTCCCCCAGCGCCACTTTCTCCACCACAAATCCCAGTTGACCAGACCCGGGATTGAACCCGGGCTGCCGCGGTGGGAAACCAGCGACTAATCGCTTGAGCTATGGCACTTTCCATGAACTACAGTAAGTGCTGCTGTTACTATGGAGCTAAATAACATAAACTGGACACGTTCTCTATTCTCTGATTGTAGCCCACTTTGCCAGTTATCGGCTTCCCCTTGCAGCATTAGATAATATAGTTGTTTCGTTGGTTATGTGGTGGAAATGAGCAGTCAATTTCACGTTATTTTTACAGTCGGTTGAAGAGGGCAGGAAAGCCAAAGCCAGGACAAAACCATGAATATTATCCCTGCATCACTCGTCTCGATGTTTAAACTTGCTTATGCTTGTATTTATAAATTTTAATAGCTAGCCAATTGGAAAATTTTACATCATTTTAAATACTGCAATATCTTAAAAGTTTCCCCAAAAATGTAACTTTCAGAACTGGTGCATTCAAGCTGTTTGAGAGACTCACGCCTTGAATTGCATGGCAATGACAATGAATGTTGTGACGCCTCCAACGATAGTGAACAGGAGAGAATGATCAAGACTTAGGAAGCCGAAAGCAGTGAATTTCATCTTTCGCTGGAGCAGCTGCTGAGAAAAGAGCTGTAGTTCTGCCACGGTGCCCTGGTCGAAATCTCGCACCAGCAGTAACTTCTGCACCAAAACAGCCATATTCTCCACTTCGTTGGTTGCTGACTGGCAAGGAGCTGTAATGATGATCAGTTTGAAAGCATACTGAACTTGCCATGCCGCCATGAGGCTGATAAACTGACCAATGGTATTAATCTCCACGCTCTGGATCCCCAATATTGTTGCAAGCATTAAATATGACGACAAAGTTAACTCAGCTGTGGTCACACCTAGTTCCAGTAAGAGCTGAAACCCGTACATTGAATTGGCAAGGTCTCTGATATCGCACATTTCATCATAGAGTTCTCTAGCACTGCGTATATTCCTCTGCTGTGAAATTTTAAATAGTGGTTGTCGAAGATTAACATGTTGAGGCGAACCAATAAATGTTCTTTTCACACTTTTCACTCCTGTAACAGGTATTTCGTTTGCCATTACAGCAGATCTAGGAACCAGTTCACGGGTTACATTACTAAATACGACAAAATCAGGTTCAACACATTCTCTTAGCATGAAACTAAGTCTTGAATTTAAGGCTTGTAAACGATTCCTTATCAACAGAACAAGATCAGAAAATTCAAGTGTGGTTTGCATGTTCAGAGTACGGTGTGGATATCCTGAAATAAAGTACCAAACACTCAAATTGTCCACAGCGTGTGTCCATACCCACGTGTCACATATGAATAGTGCTGCTTCATAAGAATGTACAACGATCACTTGAACCAAAATGAAGATCAGAGCCTTTCTGTAAGTTGCACTAGAATCACACAGAAGCGCTTTATCAAGCTTAATAACTTTTGAGATAACTTCCCTTGATTTTACACCATTAAGAGTGACGCAAAGGAGTATGGATGAAATGGCTTTTAGGGATCCTCCAAACATCATAAGACATTCGTTGATAACTATAGTGGCCCGGAGCTGTGACTGTTCTACGCGATACATCAAGGACAGTACGCCACAAGACAAGACAGAGATTAAAATTATTATTGTATAAAACATCCAAGCGGTGTCTATTTCTTTGAGGACAGAGTTCTTTTTGAGAGTGAAGGGAGCAAGTCCCAACATACGGGATACGTAATATAGAGGTCGCAGAGAAGACACAAAGTTCTCTTCGCGTAGCACTCTCTTCATCTTGACTGATAGCAGCATTTCAACAGGTAGAGCTGAATTATTTAGGTCTTACTCCACACTCACATACTTACAGTCCTTGACAGTGCGTCATAGAACAGTTCAGTGATCAGCAAAGTTGCTGCCAGCAACATCCATCTGGTATATTACTCCTCGGTTATTAAATACTGGTGAAGAACAACGCAGCGTGTCCCTGTTATCCTGGTACATGGTTTAGGAAATAGAGAATTTCCAGCACATGACCCTCAGATCCTTGTAGATTTATAGGCAGACTATTTGAGCACAGGTTCAAGTACTGTAAACTTGAGGAAAGTGCAAAATTATATTATTTTTCAATAACTGAGAAATTCACATCTTGACATAACAAAATTACAATAATATATTTTTATATTATTAGCATAGAATTAATTTAAGAGCAGCCACTACAGTAAAACAGGGCACCTGAACACCTGAATTATATTTAAATCAAGAGGTATTTTCCTTACTACGGGTGCGAGAGTCCTCATTTTATCTTAAGATGTAGAAGCTCGTGACTGCGTAACACTGGTTCTCTTAGTTATGAATTCACCTTCATTACAATTTAGCCAGAATTGCAAGCATGAATTGTTGTTTCACACCTGTTCATACTCACCGTTCGACTGGTCACCGGACTAAGCTGAAACATGACAACAAGGCCATAAACGTGTATGAAGTATATTATTCTCTACGTCTGGCAGCGGGTATTTATAAGGAATTAGCTCTGTCAATATTTGTCACAATACAGTGGCGAACCTAGTGCAAACAAACCATGGTATCGATCGAAATTCTGCTAAGGAATAATAATTAAGAGTCTTGTACAATCCACTTCAATTTTCTGGTTTCTACAGCACTTTATTTCATATGTCGTAAGGCAGAATTTTTACAGCTCGTTTTTATTACTATAATAATGTATGCCTACATATCAGTTTTATCGCGGAGTGTACATATAGAAATATCCAGATATGTGTTCTATAATCCAGTTTAAGGAGAGATATACGTGTCCATCCATTGTAATTTCCTCAGTTGTATGTATTAAATATCTTTTGATTAAATACACTAATTTTAACACTGTTACACTGTTAGGTTCGTCCTTTTCTTAAAGCGAAAGATACGTACACCCTATACCAACAACATTTCATTTTTGCATATAATATATTTTTGGAAGTCATAAAACACCGTACCTTGTCAAGAAATGTAGTTGTTCGTACGCGACGATCAGAATTTGACTTTGATTTTCTAACAGGAGAACTCAATAGCTGTAACTAATTTTGCTAAGTCTGTGCAATGTCATAAATAGTTTCTTTGCACCTGCGCGCAAACACACACACACACACACACATTAGTGCATTCACGAGGTGAAGTGTAGTACCTGATGGTCATTATGGAAACAAGCAAAATAAAACAAAATATTGTATCATGTAGACTCGGTGCGATGTAATGACTCTTTAAATAACACCCGCTGCTAGGCAAGAGATTCCTAACCTGCACCAATTAACAGCAACAGGAAACGGCGTTTTCTGTGCAGTCCGCTAAGCAAGAATTGAACAGCAACAGAGGATAGCTGTTCTCTGTGCGGTCCGTGCCGAGAGTTATAAGCAGGATAATTAGTGAGAGAGTCAGTGCAGTGCAGTGCAGAAAATAAAGTTTTTGGTGAGTTATTGAGTTAGAAAACTGCAGTTCAGTCGTTGTGAGCTATTGCTGTTAGATAGAAGCTTGTATCGGAGACAAGGAGATAGTTCGGAAACTCAGAGTAAGGTGAACATCCGCCGATAAAGCCGTTACAAGGCAACGATTGGTGAAGATAAAACGGACAGAAAAGACTTCGTGCTGTAGTGAACCGCAGAGTGTGTGACTTAGTGATAGCGCTATAGTTACTTGTAGTTAAAATTCGTAAGTGGTCAATAAATCCAATTACCAATCCAAACCCCCGTCCACAGTCATTCTAATCAAATGATAATATTTATTTCATTATCGGTTACAATTTATGCCGAAATATAGCGAACAGTGTAGCATAGATAATTCTTTTTTTGTTATAAGTTTGGTCTTCTAAAACAGGTTAGATTATGTAGCATTGGAAGATGAGGAATCCTATTAATACAGATTGCTGTTTTCGTGGATGTGACGCCATATAGTTTGGTAGGTGGAAATCAACGTTTCAGGATAATATAAAGATGGAAGCAGTGTATTCGTTAAAAATGTTGGTACCTCTCTCTACCAAACTACACGGAGTCACATACCAGAATATAGTGTTGTTCTTTTACCGCCTTCAGAACCTCGAATCTCACGGTCTTGTAATGTTAAGCCAGGAGACAAAAATGAGGCTTATAGTTTGAATTGCCTGTATAAATTTGCCCGAAGGAGCTAAGAGAATTAAAATACCCTGATTCATGAAAGCAGATCCTGGTTGAGAGTCTTTGCCGAATAATAAATTGAATGAAGCAAAATCCTTGTGACTCTCGTGGGCAAGATATTGTGCCCTCACCTTCCCATATGTTACCGAAGGTCCATTACTTGTTAACACGAGTGCACCACTAGACCTTACCTTCAACCAGATTAGTCCAAAGCACATGCACATATCACATGTCTGCAAGACCCCTTTAATATTGTCCTCACATCGACATTTACGTATTTACATCCTAAGGGCTCTCTTGTTTTAAGAATTTCGAATATAATTTCTCATGTATCGTGTGCAAGACGCATACCTGTCCTTCGCGATTTGGCCAACCTAGTATATATTGTGAAGCGTAACAGTTATAAAGTCCATCACTACGCAACGTTTCCCAGCGCACCCATACTTTATTTATTAGTGGTATATTTGATGATGTAACTCAGACTTTGTTGTGCGAAAATTTATATAATACTGAATTTCTAAGGGAGTGGAATAAAACTGTAATGTTATAATTTTAATTACTATCCCAACATTGCCTGAAGAGACTGAGGAATACCGTGGCGAACCTCAGTAAAGATAGTCGGTGTCCAGGTATAAATTTGAAGTGGTCTTCCCACTGAGCAGATATATTAGTTTTTTTTTTTTCAGTTGAAATATTATCTTGATCACAGAATAGCGCCTAACGAATGCGACATAAGCATGGAACTCCAGAGTCACGGTGCTCCCTTCTTTATCATAGATTTTAGAACACAGTGCACAATATACGGAAAGGGCTTTTAGAAATCGTTATTCCTTCTGAAGGACCCTTATGAGTCTCATTTCCCGAACTGCGTGACGATCACAAGGTATGTTGTGGCACCTCCAATGATAGTAAGCAGAAGAGAGTAATCAAGACGGAGGAAACCGAACGCAGTGAATTTCACTTTCCGTTGGAACAGCTGCTGAGAGAAGAGCTGTAGTTCTGCAATGGTGTCCTGGTCAAAGTGTCCCGCCAACAGCAACTTTTGTACTAACGCAGCCGTATTCTCTACTTTACTGGTTGCAGACTGACAAGGAGCTGTGATACTGATTAGTTTAAAGAAGGTCAGAAATAGCCAAGCTGTCATGAGCCTTGTAATCTTACTAATGGTACTGGCTGTCACATTGTGGGTGACCAATATTGTGTGCAGTATGAAATATGCCGCCGAAATGATCTCAGCTGTAGACACACCAATCTCCAGTAAAAGTTGGAGACCATACATTGAATTGGCAAGGACGCTAATATCACACAAGTCATCGTAAATTTCTCTGACTTTGCGTATGGTTGTCTGTTGTGAAATTTTTCGTCGTGGTTGCTGAAGGCGGTTAAGAAGTTGAGGTGATTCTACGAACGGTATTGCAGTCACACTATTTGGGTCTGAAACATGCCTTTCTGTTTCAGTTACAGCGGAGTCTGAAACCCGATTATGGGCTACGTTGGTAAATAAGGCAATTTCACTGTAAGATCCTACGTACAGTTTCAGAATGAAATTAAGTTTCGAGTTCAAGGCTTGGAAACGGTTTCTTAGTAATATGACAAGATCAGAGAACTGAATTACAGTTCCCAGGTTTACAATACGATGTGGATACCCAGAAATTAATAACCAAGCGCTAATATTCTCCATTGTATGCTTCCATATCCACATGTCATACGTAAACAAGGCTGCTGCATAAGAATACAGAGCAATTACTTGAACGAAAGTGAATATGAAAGTCCTTCTGTAAGTTCTACTAGAATCAGTGAACAGAACTTTGTCAATTTTAACAATTTTGGAAATAATTATTCTCGATTTAACGTCATTAAGAGTGACACAAATGAGAATTGACAAAATGGCTTCTACGGCTCCAGTACCGACGTGAAGGGATTCGTTGATAACCGCAGTGGTCGGAAGGTCTGCCTGTTCTACACGCTTCACCATGGACAGTAAGCTACAGGATAAGATAGTAATTAGTATAACTGTTGCGTAAATCTTCCCTCCAATGCCGAAACCTTTGATTGCAAACTTGCTGGTAAAAGAGAAAGGAGCAAGTCCGAACACACAAGACGCGTAGTATAAAGGCCGTATAGAAGATACAAAGGTCTGAACACGTGTAATTCTCTCCATTCCGTAATGTATACCAGTTATCTCAAACTGGTGTTATAGAATAAACCCAGATTTACACCAGCGTAATTTTCCCGCCACGAAAAACACGGGTTATTGCCTACATCCGCAATTGCCTGAGGAACTAGAGTGCTGCCGTGCACATTGTAATGTCAGGCTGGTAACTAGGTTCCAGATATTGCGTCCAGACGTAACAGACCCTCGCTTGAAACACGTAATTAAATGGCCAGGTAGAAAATGGAAATCTTGGATGTATATTTTCATCATGGTGGTGGATAAAGAGCCAGGTGTTCTGTTGTAACAAGTTTAAAATAAATAGAAACTAGATGCATACCAGATTAAATTGTCAGAAAATATTTTCAAAAAATTCTCTCATTAAATAAGAAAAGCAACAGTAAAATGAAAGAATGTTTATAATATTGACATGTTCTCTTCAATGTTTTTTAAAGAATTTTAAATAATTTAGGCACTGGTTGAATTGCTATGGATATTATTATTGTTATTTTTGTTATTCATTTCATGAATTAAATAAAATTGATTACCAATATTAACATATTTTTAAAAGAATGGCCA